GCCGAGGTTGAGTCGCGGAGGAAGAGGTGTGTTGGTATGACGATGCGCCACTCGCCCTATCCTCCGCGACTCAAACGGGGCCGCACCGTTGATGCGGTGGTGGTGGGGCCGCGGGGGGAGAGGAGTGTCGGTATTGCGAGGCGCCGCTCTCCCTACCCTCCGCGGCCGAAACGTGGTTGGCGGCGGAGCCCGAGACCAGATCCGCCGCTGGGGTCGGGAAAGCGGGCGCTATTAAGCGCTCGATTTTCCTGGCCCCATGGCCTCCGCGTATCGGACTCGGGGGGGTCCGATACGCAGGTGGAGTTGGAGGCTGTGGAGAGGGGTAGCTGAACACCTTGCTACCCCGTGCAGGAGACGAGGCCCGGACAGACCGGGCCAGCACTAGTGTGGGGCTGCGGAAGAATTTGGATTCCCGCGGCCCCACGCGCACGTGCGAGGAGGCAACGTGGGGTTTTGGCCGGTAGGAGTCCGGCATAACCTTCCGGTTGCCCCCGCAGCCGGAGGTATCCATGAGGATTTCCCCACGGGAAAAAAAAAAAAAAAAAAAAAAAAAAAAAAAGGTTAGGTTAGGTTAGGTTAGGTTAGGTTAGGTTAGGTTAGGTTAGGTTAGGTTAGGTTCCCCCCCGAACGGGTTCCCGCCTTGTCGTGGCGGGGGGGCTTAGTAGCCGTGGCTTGGTCAACCGCGGTGAACGAAGAGGAACCCCTTGGCTGGCCCGTGGTGCAGGGCCGGCCCGAGGTGGCCACTCCGAGTGGGCTGGGGAAGCCCACTTCGGATGTGTGTTGGTGGGCTGCGGTGAGAGGGGAGTCCGCACCCTCTACCGCTGCAGCGAGGTGGAGTCGCGGAGGAAGAGGAGTGTTGGTATGGCGATGCGCCACTCGCCCTATCCTCCGCGACTCAGACGGGGCCGCACCGTTAATTGATGCGGTGGTGGTGGGGCTGCGGGGGGAGAGGAGTGTCGGTATTGCGAGGCGCCGCTCTCCCTACCCTCCGCAGCCGAATCTTGGTTGGCGGCGGAGCCATAGACCAGATCCGCCGCTGGGGTCGGGAAAGCGGGCGCTAATAAGCGCTCGATTTTCCGGGCCCCATGGCCTCCGCGTATTGGACTCGGGGGGGTCCGATACGCAGGTGGAGTTGGAGGCTGTGAAGGGGGGTAGCTGAACACCTCGCTACCCCGTGCAGGAGACGAGGCCCGGACAGACCGGGCCAGCACTAGTGTGGGGCTGCGGAAGAATTTGGATTCCCGCGGCCCCGCGCGCACGTGCGAGGAGGCACCGTGGGGTTTTAGCCGGTAGGAGTCCGGCATAACCTTCCGGTTGCCCCCGCAGCCGGAGGTATCCATGAGGATTTCCCCACGAAAAAAAAAAAAAAAAAAAAAAGGTTAGGTTAGGTTAGGTTAGGTTAGGTTAGGTTAGGTTAGGTTAGGTTAGGTTAGGTTAGGTTAGGTTAGGTTAGGTTAGGTTAGGTTAGGTTAGGTTAGGTTAGGTTAGGTTAGGTTAGGTTAGGTTAGGTTAGGTTAGGTTAGGTTAGGTTAGGTTAGGTTAGGTTAGGTTTTTTTTTTTTTTTTTTTTTTTTTTTTTTTAATGTTTCGCTTATTACAATTGATACTCTTAGATAACATAGAATATTGACGCTTCGTTGTATCATATGTTGCACCGAGGAAGAGGTAGCACCTTGCTGCGATTGGATACTGCGTGGTGTGTACCCCTTCCTTCACATTTTGTCACATTAATGTACATATACGTTAGTTCTTTAACATTATTGATGTGTTTATATACAATCATTAAAAATTGGTTTCTTAATTACTAATGTACTTATATGCTAAATTATGTGTTACTATGTCTGACATGTTTGCTTATTTATTTACATTGGTTGTCTAATTTTTTCCCCATGAGTCTGCTTGCCGTCTAGTTGTGCATTAGTTATACATATAATGTATAAGCAAAGCTATTGTCTATATTATGACATAAGTGTTACAAAAATATGAATGAAATATCTTAATTAAACTAATTACATTATGACATAAGTGTTACAAAAATATGAATGAAATATCTTAATTAAGCTAATTACATTATGACATAAGTGTTACAAAAATATGAATGAAATATCTTAATTAAACTAATTACAAAGAATGAAAGAAAAGGATATTATGTATGAAAAAAAAAAAGGACAAAGACAAAGGGTGTGAAGAATATACACTATTTATCCACTAGTTGTCCACTAGTTGACAACCCGTACACCGGTTGTCCACAAGTTGTCCACTAGTTGACAACCCGTACACTAGTTGTCCACTAGTTGTCCACTGGTTGACAACCCGTACACAAGTTGTCCACTGGTTGTCCACATGTTGTCCACCGGTTGTCAACCCGTACACTGGCTTTCCACTAGTTGTCCACTAGTTGACCAGTGTCAACTTGATGTACTCTTGTCCCTAGCGAAGAGGTTACTGCCGGTCACTACAGCACGTGATGTCTTCCATTCGCTGTCCAAACTTGTTATTTGAAGCCGTAGTCGATTCGAAGTGCAATTCTATCTTTCATGGCCCGCAGCCTAGGACATTTGTCCGAATTTGCAGTGTGTTTATCATCCAGTTTTGTTTCAAATTTGATATTATGTGTTGAGCAATTATAACACTTAGCGCTTTGTGCGTCGTCTTTAGTTGGGCACTTATCGTATTGATGATCAGATGAGGCGCAGTGCGAGCACGGATTTGACGCAGATGTACATTTGGTCTTGGTATGACCAAATTGAAGGCATTTGAAGCACTGTATAAAAGGGGAGAAGCTGCTAACATATATGCGCTGGTGATCTATACATACTCGCTCCATTTGCATAAGTTTATGGTAAATTTTTGCCTCTGCCAGGAAAATTGCATTGTACAAGTTGCCATTGCGGTTATCCCGCTTGAACCTCAGTCGGAAGTTATCGCTGCTTTGGTTGTCACCTTGGATAAGTTGTGAAAGTTCGGGATTTTGTGTGCTAATAATTTTGATTAGTTCGTCCGCAGGGACGTCCTTGGATATTCCTTTAAAAATAACCATTGGTTTCAGCATTCGTACGGGTTCGGCCTTTACCTTATCTGTTTTCCCCAGCCTAGACAGAGTATCATCCCTCTGTTCTATGTTATCAAATTCTATACGCAGCTTGTTGTTAGAGACGGGTTGTATTTTCACTGGAGCATAGTTTGAATCTCTGTAGCTAATACTGTGTCTAAATAGTTCGACAGCCTCCTGGCGTGTCTTGACCTCTGATGCTGGGGTTACAATAATCGCTGGTTTAGTTGTAGGCGCTACAGAGCTAGGTGTGGGTGTTTTTGCTGAGGAGGGAGCTCCGGAGACTGTCGCTGCAGCCTGAGCATATGTAGGCTTTATCACAGAGTTGGTGACAAATTTTTTGAGACCAGCTATTTCTTCGCGGACGCAAGTAGCTATTTCCTTCTTTAAATCTTCTTTAGTTAGGGTAGCAGTGTTACCATCCTTTGCAGTATTTGCGTTTTTTTGCATTAAGTCGCAATGCACACCAGTGGTAGTATTGATTTCATCAAGGAGACAATAAATTTTCCCCTTGTTGATTTTAGTGAGGCTCTTGCCTTCATTAAGTTTGTCAAGGATTGCCTTAGTCTTACTGAATATAAATTTCTTAAACGATTCAATGGTTTTTGCGGATACTAAGGGATCTTCAGAGGTATCATTTTCAACGTTTGGAGTATAATTAAAATTTCCTACCATATATTCCGGGTCTTCAAAGAAGTCCAGGTCTTCCATGTATTCCATGTCGTAGAAGTGCGTTATCACTGTCACTTGTTGTTAATTTGGGCACTATTGTCACTAATAATATACAACATAGCTCTGATCACTGCTCACTTGATGTACACATGTTGGCCACCAGTGGCCAACATGTGTACATCAAGTATCATCAATCAGTAATCATCAAGGTTAGGTTAGGTTAGGTTAGGTTAGGTTAGGTTAGGTTAGGTTAGGTTAGGTTAGGTTAGGTTAGGTTAGGTTAGGTTAGGTTAGGTTAGGTTAGGTTAGGTTAGGTTAGGTTAGGTTAGGTTAGGTTAGGTTAGGTTAGGTTAGGTTAGGTTAGGTTAGGTTAGGTTGAGCCATAGACCAGATCCGCCGCTGGGGTCGGGAAGATGATGCTTTTTAGTGCTAGTTTTTCCTAGCCCCATGGCCTTCGCGCATCGGACGCGGGGGCGTCCGTGGCGCATATGAAATTGGAGGCCGAGGAGGAGGGCGCGCCATGTGTTCTGGTGCGCCTTACCTGAGAGGGAAATGGGGGAGGAGTGGTCCTCTCCCGGGAAGGGGCCGCCATGGGGCGGCCAGCGCAGGTGGGGCCGCGGAAGTGTGCGAAAGCGTTCCCGTGGCCCTGCCAATATGCGACGAGGGTGGAACACCATGGGGTTTTAGTCGGTGCGAGTCCGACATAACCCGTCCTTGCCCCCGCGAGGCGGGTATGCGTAGGCAATTCCCCATGTAAAAAAAAAAAAAAAAAAAAAAAAGGTTAGGTTAGGTTAGGTTAGGTTAGGTTAGGTTAGGTTAGGTTAGGTTAGGTTAGGTTAGGTTAGGTTAGGTTAGGTTAGGTTAGGTTAGGTTAGGTTAGGTTTTTTTTTTTTTTTTTTTTTTTTTTTTTTTTTTTTTTTTTTTTTTTTTTTATGTATGCTTTGCTGCTTCCCTCTGACATGGGGGTCAGAGACATTGTCAGCTCGACACGGACTTTGAATTCATGTTCTTTTATTTATGTAGTCCTTGATGTTATAAAAGGTGTAGAGGACTCCGGGTTTTCGTTCGGGAGTCCTACTACTCTTAGTCTAGTGCATGCAACAACAATTTCCAATATTTAATGCTGGGGGTAGTGACAACTTATATAATACTTATATTTCTTATACTATTTGTTAGTTATTGCTTATGTTCTATTTGATTATTTCTAATACATATTTCAATTTATTTTGTAATGCTGATCTGTAATATAATACAATATATTATGGCAGCATCCTTACTTAAACAGTTTTATTCCTATTTATTACTCTTTTTGCAATTTTCAAACAATAACTCATAAATTTTTCTCTGTATTTACTCATCATTATGATATTTATATTCTCCTTAATTAATTTTAATTCAATTTCGTTTTCTATTTTCAGGCGCTCTGCGGCGTATGCGGGACAATCCAGCAAAATGTGTGGCACAGTTTCTTCAGCATCGCGGTCGCAAATGCACGATGGATTCTCTTTACACTTAAAGCGGTGTAAGTATTCAGAAAATCCACCATGCCCTGTCATGACTTGGGTAGTCTCGCTGCTTGCTTCAAATTTTCTTATTATTCGGTAGGCCACTTTCGCGTCTGGGAAAAACAGCTTCGTGATCTTTCCTGTTTCGCCAGTCTGGTATCTTTGGTTCCATTCGTCTAGCGTTGCCATACGGATGCTTCGCTTGACGAATGAAACCGGGCAAAGATCGTAATCCGGTCTCACTTTGGAATTTTTTGCGGCCTCTTTTGCTAGTCTGTCTGCTCGTTCATTCCCCTCTAAGCCCGCGTGGGCTTTAATCCAAAACAAAGTTACTACTTTGCTTTGGAGAGATATTGCTCTTAAATTATCTCTACATTCCACGGCTAACGGGTGAAGGCAGTTTGGGTTTATGATCGTTTGAAGGGCTGCCATTGAGTCGCTGTAAATTCCAAAGGAGGACGCTCTGTGCTTGAGGATTTGTCCAGTCGCCCTGAAAATGGCCAGGAGCTCGGCTTGGTAAACTGTGCAGTATGTTGGTAGAGCAAGTTTGAGGGCTTTATTTTCGGTCTTGTTTTTCCATTCGGAAAGGGCGGCGCCAACCTTGCCCTCAATCTTGCTCCCGTCAGTAAATATGTGGACGTTTATTTCGCTGTGTTTGTTCACCTGCTCCTCGTTTACCAAACAAATAATTCCTAATTCCAGGCGCTCAGCAGGGTGTGGGCCCTCAAAAGCTGAAGCCATTCTCTCGACCTCTCTTCCCGCCAACACTGGCTGTGGCAGCCCCCTCTTGGCTTCATATAATAAAGCAGCCTCACGGACTCGGAGGTCCAGGGGGAGTATTCCAGCCAGTACTAGCGCCGAATTCAGAGAGACCGTTCGGTAGGCTTTGCATAGTTTTTGCGCGATACCGCGCTGGACTACGGCGAGTTGTTTTATTATCCCTAGCTTTTTTGCAGCCTGTGCCCAAACGCTAGCAGCGTAAAGTATAATAGGCTCTACGGTCGCGAGATATATCACTCTTATCACTTCCGGATGGAGTCCCCAACTAACCTTCGCCGCTTTGCATAGTTGTTTGTAGATGCCGATTGCCTTCTTACACACATTCGATACATGGGTGTTAAAAGTAAGCTTTTCGTCAATTGTAAACCCAAGTAGCTTTATTTCTTTTGACATGCCAATTGCAGTACCTCCCATGTTGAGGCGTGGTACATCGTGTTTCAGTTTTCTTGTTATTATCATCGCGTTCGTCTTGTGTGGCGCAAACTTCAATTTATTTTCAACACCCCACGCACAGACATGTTCTAGAGTGGCATTGGCACGTCGCTCCACTTCGTGTGCTGTGTCGCCGTCGAAGACTAATACGACGTCGTCCGCGAACGCCTGACAATAATCTCCCCTGCATTCGAGACTTTTCAAGAGAGGATCTAGCAGAAGATTCCATAGGATTGGGCCTCCAATGGATCCCTGGACACAACCTCTGCTTGTACCTTTAGCATATTCCTCTCCAGCGTACCTGACTACGACTTTCCTGTCTTTGAGATAACTATCTATGACCCTCCTCAAGTTAAGCGGACACCTTTCCTCAGCCAGTCGGACTCGTATGGCTGGCCACCAGGCGCTATCAAAAGCTCCCTCGATGTCCAATGATACTAGCGCTATAATTTTCTTTTGATTCAGTTTCATGTGAATAAACTGCATTAGTACATAGAGGGCGTCTTCGGTGCTTCTCTGTGGCATGAACCCGTACTGGCGAGTACTTATCCTTGGCAAAAGGTGAAATTTGAGGCGGTTCACCAGCATTTTTTCAAAGATCTTTCCTAGTATAGGTAGTAGTCCAATGGGCCTGTACGCTTTCGGCATGGTGTAATCTACTTTCCCTGGTTTTTTAAGCACTATGACTGTCGCGATTTTCCAGGTTTTTGGGAAGTGTTGTAGAGTTAAACATTTATTAAGGAAGGCCAAGAATAACTCGGGGTTGCTTTCTATAGCGTGTAGACATATATCAGCTGTGAAACCGTCCGCTCCTGGGGCCTTTTTCGGGTTGAAGGATCGATACGCCTGTTTCAATTCTAGCATTGTGAACAGGGGATCACACAGGTCATCTTGCTCAGCAGAGTTCACTTTGTCAGCTTTTATTCTTACGTGGCGATGGTAAGTGTTTTCGCTGTCTGTTAAGTCTTCCGGAAAGAACGTTTCCGCCAATAACTTCACGGAACCTTTTGCGTCTAACACTACCTTATTGATTTCCAGTGGCTGGTCCTCGTCCCTGCGCGTTGTTCTCCCAATTACCCTATAGATACCTTCCCAGACCCCCTCCTTATCCTGCTTGCAGCAAAAGTATTTCCAGCTCTCGATCTGGGCTTTAATAGCTTCTGACTCATACCTCTCTTTTTGTTCCAGGTACTCTTCTACGACCTTCTGTCTACGGACCAGGGCAGCACATTTGATCCTTCGTTTCATGGTAGTGACTTCTTTTTTCATCTTGTTGAGCTTATCGGACCACCACGGCAAGGTAAGTTCTTCTGTAGCTTTTTTGGTTGGCATTGTTTGCTTGCAAGTGTCTGTTATGGATATTGTTAATTTATCTGTTGCTATGTCTATTTGTTCAATGGTTTCAATATTTTCTATTTCCGATTTGTTAAATTGATTTTCTGACAGCAATTGGTTAAGTTTCTCATGAAACTTAGGCCAATTTGCCTTCTTTGTATTAAACAGTCTAGTAGTTCTGTTTACTCTTAGACCTTTTGATTTTTGTAGCCGAATATTAAAAATAATGCCGTTGTGGTCCGAGCTCGTAAGACCCTCGTCCACTGTCCAGTCATCTACCAAGTCCAGGATGTCGGTCGAGCAGGCTGTTATGTCGACGTAGCTGGAATATCGTTTTCCTCCTCGGATGGTATCGAAGGTCGGAATGTCCCCTCTATTCAGTATGTTCAGACCCAGCTCCTCGAAAGCTCCTGCGATTTCTTCTCCTCTATGGTCAACGATCGGGCTTCCCCACCATGTACTTTTTGAATTGGCGTCACCTCCAGCAATCCACTTTGTACTTCCAATTTCTTGCTCTATCTTTTTAAGGTGATCAATATACGGTTCTATGGGCTGATCTGGCTCGAAGTAATAAGAGACGAGTGTTATTTCCCAAGCTCTAGTTTGAATTCCCACCACAATGATGTTGTTTGTGGTGAGTTTTGGGTACTGTTTTATGTTAAAATCAACGTTGAAGACGGCTACCGCTGCCTTAACAGTCCCTTCTCCTGGGCTAGAGTTTTGAAAAACCCTCACGCCTCTTTGACCTTTCATCGTGTTAGCACCACCTACGTATGGTTCTTGAAGTAGTGCTATATCAGCTCGACGTTTCTCAGCTTCAATAAAAAGTTCATGGGTTGCTAATTTTTTGCGCTGGAGGTTTGCTTGGATAATTTTATAGTGGGCTTGTTCAACTTGTGCACCTTTAGCAATATGCTATAGTTGACCGGGCCAATTCATCCCACTTTCGGCGCGTTGGGCAGTTTGTGCTAAAGGCATTATGTTCTGTCTGGAACAATTTTGCCTTTGAGCAGTTTCGGCATTTGGGTGGTTCACCAGCGAGCCAGTCACCACACTCGGATCTCAGGTGGGGGCCACCACAGTGGCTACATAGGTCTGATAGTTCTTTACAGAACCTCTTACCGTGACCATATCCTAAACAGCGTGTGCATTGCACCAGTGGGGATTGGTCTTCTGCTCTAACACGTTGTAAATCAATATGAATACTCCCAATTTCTATAACTCTTTGCCAGATGATAGGCGAGACACTAAGAACAATGTGGCTGGTGTGGGGATTTCTTGTTTTTCTTCTATATTTTATTTCAATTCTGATCTCACCTTCGTCGAGACCGTGAAAAACACCGCGATTTTGATTCCTCAGAGCCTTGATTACGTCTTCGTCTGTGTTTACAAGAAGTACATTTCTGAGGATCAAAAGTGGGTCCCTGTTTTTGACCTCTTCGACGGTGAGATTTACTCCTTCTTTTTCAAGCCGATTTTTCATTTTGTTCCTTTCCTCTTTTGTTTCGAAACCCATAATGATTTTTCTATCCTTTGCTTTCCTTACCCTTCCAACCTTTATCCACCCTTCTTTTGCATCAGCTGCCTTTCTGACCCGGTTCATCACCTCTTCCCCCGTTTCAGTTTCATCTGTTGATGTTATTACTACGGAATGTAGGGTACTACGCTGTGGGGGAGTTTTAATGATTTTGTCTGCAGTTACATTAGCGTATGTTGGCATTGTAGCTCGCTCTAGTGTTTCTCTTTGCTTTTCCATCGATTCTTTCAACTCTTCCATCTTTTTATTTGTTTCTTGCAGCAATCTTGCGTGCTCCTCAATCCTTGTTTTTAGGTCTGAGTGGTGAGGTGAGATGACTGAGAAGGTAGAGTCAGTAGCAGCAGTTTCCAACTCTAGCTTTTCACTCTTTTCCTTTTCTCCTTTTGCCTTTTTTGCCTTTAACTCCATTTCAGCTTCTTTAACAAGCTGATATAATCGATCCAGTGCTTCTACAACGCCATTTTTTATCTCTGTTTTCGTATTCCGAGAGGCGTTTAGATGAAGCTTGCCTTTTGTTAAACAGGCCTTTGCTTCCATTGTTCTATTTTCATACTGCTGCTTTGGCGGAGTGTGTATTTCAACAGACACTTTTTGCGTGGTTTTACTGTTTTGTAGCACTGATACCGTTGGTTTTGTTTTAGCAGTACCTGCCTGCATTGTCGTGGTAGTCATGGATGGGGTTGAATCAATGTTAGATTCCCAGTCATCTATGCTGCGTCTTACTTTTGAAATTTCACTTCCTGTTTTAGAGGGTGATTGTGTCGGTTTAGTTGGTGTTCTAATTCCAAACATCTTGGGAGTATATGTCCGTGTAGCGTCAATAGTATAATGTGTATAAAGGATGTATAAATATATCAACTAAAATGTAAAACAGAGAAAAAATATAACAAAACAAATATATAAAATGTATAAAAGTGTATAAAAATATACCTCTATCTAGAGTCACAGACTCCGTCAAAATTCTTTATTTATACAGTATGTTAACTTTCGGGTAAAAAGAAAATAAAAATTTCCTTTTTAAATTTAATAAAACTGTTTAAGAACTAAAAATGTGCAGAGATGTTATAATATAAACTATTTGTAGAGTCCCGACTCTATGTCGTTGTATAATAACACCACTCTACAAGGTGGCTCTACGTCTGAATTTAAATTAATTTCTATACCTATCCAAAATTAGGTTAAAGTTATATATTGTTTTAAAATATGACGAGGTTGCGGTTATTCAAAGGTCAAATGTCTAAGGTATCTCAATTTTAAAATAACCACAAACACCCCGTCCCGTTCCCTTAAGAAGCTATAAAAATATAAAGTCAATAAACTAAAAAATGTAGAGTCGTAACTCTACTTGTTATGATTTTGTCACTCTTAATACACACTTAGCACATACAATTAATAATACCAATAGCACAAATAAATATATTAAAGATAATAATTGCTCTACCTAGAATTGTCTCTATTCTAATTCTAATAGTTGGTTACTCTTATTTCTAATCTTATAGTTCTAATATATTTTACAGAAAATTTTAAAATTGCAGTGCTCTATATAGAGTCAATCTATGTCTATTTTGCCAGCTCTATAATTAAGTTTTCTAGCAGAGTTAAGACGTCTTACAAAATTAAAAAAAAAATTTAAAAATACTTTATAGAAAGAGAGTTTCAGGCCAGCAAATATTTGGCTCTACGTAGAGTCTGTTTCTAATGACCAGCTTGGAGCTCTCCTCGAACCCTATTCAAAGAGCCCAAACTCGGTATACCTAGCTCAGTAGGTTCGCAAGTTATCGCGTTTTCAAATTCTGGTTGTAACCAAGATGGCTTCCAAAATTATGGTTACAACGCTGTAACTCCCGAACGAACAGGCCTACAGCTCCGTGCTTGGGCTCCTCTTACTGGGCTCGACCAGGGCTTCAATGTCGTGTAGCTTTCAGGACTTAAAATTTTTGAGCGCTGAAATTTCCTGAAAGCTAGGTTGTCTGTTCCGGCCTTACTTGCCGACGTCTCGGGTCAAAACCCCAGTCTTCTACGACGCGTAGTTCAGAAGTTATGGCCTATTTTAGTTTTACAAGATGGCTGCCGAAATGTCAAAGTTGATGTTTGACTGTTAATAACTTTGGTTCCAGCTATCGCAGAAGACCAGCGCTTCAACTACACCACTAGATTTCGTCCAGTCTTTCTGAAGGAATCGGTTTCAGGACCATGAAAAACTCAAGCTCAAAAAAGCCTGAATCCCTCTAGGTGGGTAGAACTCGATCCAATAGTAGTGCCGTCGAAAACCCCAACCCAATGCGACTTCTACAACCAGAGTTATTTAATTTTAAAAATTTTCAAAATGGCCGCCGGTCCAGACAGTAAACTGCTATTTTGGCCGTTTTTTAACGGATTTGGCCCGTGTTTGGGCTCATTTGATAGGTCTCGGTGTCGACCTTACAAGTCTATAAGTCTTGTGGCTTTTTAAGCCCCCTATAATTAAATTTTACAAAATATGTTGTAAATTTTCAGAAAAATTTGGTTTTTACAACTTAATTTAACTTTTAAAATTCTATAAAAATTAACATATGTTAAAATTAATACTTTCTAATTAAATATGTATTTTATAATTTACCGACAGCTAAAATAAAGGTAACACGTGTTAACTAAATATTTAAAAAAATTCTAACTCTAAAACTACTTACTACAAAAATCTAAAACTTTATACACACGTTCCTTTTATTGTTCTTAACACTATTAAAATATAAAAACTAGGGGTCTTCACTTTAGTTTAAAAGTTAGTGGGATATCAATTTTTTTTCAAAATTTAAAAGTTTAATATCTCGTAAACCACTTAACTTAAATTTGTTCTGAAAGTTGCTCCCGGCTCCTCTCCGCGCGTGCTAACAGAATCCGACTTCAAAAATAGCCGCACGACTCTGCTTCGCAAAACACGTGCCCACGTGGCACTTGTTTTTTTGGCTTTTACTCGAAAACTGTGGCTCCGAGAAATCTCAATTTTTGCACATGGGTGTAGGCCGCGAGTGGCTTCAAGGCCGCACTTTAAAAAACAGGGGTAAAAGCGATTAATCGCGCAGCGTTTCACTTTGAAGTTTTTAAAATTTTCGAAAATCACTTTTCTCACAATATCTCTTTCACAAAAACTCCGATTTTATTGCGGTTTTCACTTATTTGAACCGCGAGTCAAAGCGCAACTTTTGACGTATCACACACGAAAATCGGTTGCGAAAAACCTATTTTTCAGAATTTTTAAGCGCGGAGCGACTTAAAAACGTGGCGTTCGGGACGGCAATTGACACAGGACTGGTTAGGTTAGGTTAGGTTAGGTTAGGTTAGGTTAGGTTAGGTTAGGTTAGGTTAGGTTAGGTTAGGTTAGGTTAGGTTAGGTTAGGTTAGGTTAGGTTAGGTTAGGTTAGGTTTTTTTTTTTTTTTTTTTTTTTTTTTTTTTTTTAATCTATTTCCCCTGACGTGGGAGATCAGGGACCTTGCGCTCTTTTCGTTTATTTGTCAATGTTCTTTTTGACTTTTTATATATTTTTTGTGTTGTTTACATTTTTTATCACTTATCTCTATTTATCCTTACTATTTTCTTTACTTTACATCCTTATCTTCTAATATAAATTATATACATTACAATGCTTTTCCTTTTTACTTTCTTATTACAGTGTCCTATTTCTTTATATCTTATTTTAATAATCTATATAATATATCTTATTTTCTTACTTTCTACTTATCTTCTCTACTCTATATAATTCTTTTACTTATTTACTTATCGTATCGCTAACTTATATCTACCACATTATTTTGTTTATTTCTTATTCCTTATTACACATTAATTTGAAATTGATCTATATGAGCTATATACATATATTTTCAATTTCTTTTTCTTATTTCTATTATATTATTTACTAATTACATCTGTTTTTATTTAGTAATTTCCATTTATTTTGGGACTTGTATTATATATTCTTACATACATATTCAAGTTCCCTTTTTATATCTACTTGTTTCTATCTATAGCTACTTTCGCAATACGCTTACAGTATTCTATAAATTTGCCTCTAATTTCTTTGTCTTTCATTATTACGTGTATTTCCTCTCTATTTATTTTTATTTTATATTTCAATTCTAGATCTTTTCTTGCTCTATAGTTTCTTGGACACTCCGCAATAAGGTGTATTACAGACTCTACTTGGTCCCTATCACAAGTGCATGTGGGGCTCTCTTTGCATTTGAAACGATACAAGTACTCGGAGAACCCCCCATGTCCTGTTAGCACCTGTGTCAACAGTGGGTCCAGTTCAATTTTTCTAAGAATGGGGTAAGCACTGAGAGCGTCCGGAAAGAAAATCTTGGTAGTGGCAGCCGTATTCTCTTCTCTATATCTCCTATTCCATTCGTCAAGCGAGTTTATCCTAATTTGTCGCTTGACGAATGAAATTGGACATTTATCGTAAAATGCTTTGGTTTTAATCCTCAAAGCGGCTTCTTTTGCCAAGATGTCAGCCCTTTCATTTCCCTCCACCCCCGCATGTGCTTTGACCCAGTGCAGAGCCAGTGACTTTTCAAGGTTTTTAATCCTGGTTATATTTTCTCTTGCCCTCACCGCCAAGGGGTGAAGGGAATCGCCCCGTGTGATAGTCTCAAGGGCTGATCTGGAGTCGCTGTATATGTTGCAACTTCGTGCAGAAGATTGAATAGCAAATTGGGTGGCCTCAAGCAGGGCCAACAGCTCCGCCTGGTAGACGGTGCAAAAGTAGTCTAGTTTAAATTTTTTGGTACTCGTTTCGGCCGCGCTGTCCCAAATGGACAACGCCGCACCCACTTTCCCCTCAATTTTGCTCCCATCAGTAAAGATGGAGAGCTCGGCGTTATTTGTTTGATCCACTTGTGCACCGTCGGCCAGACATGTGAACTCCGGCCCTACCTGTTCTGCGGGATGCGGCAATTCTGTATAAGCTTCCATTTTCTCCAGATCTCGGTCGCCTACTACCTCCCTCGAATGGCCTTTTTTGATTTCATATATAAGTGCCGCCTCCCGGATTCTGAGATCCAGGGGGAGCAACCCAGCCAGGAGGAGGGCCGAGTTCAGTGAGACAGTTTTATAAGCTTTAACTATCTTCTGCACGAAGCCGCGTTGCACCGAGTTTAGTAATTTCCTCGTTTCCACCTTTTTGGTCGCCGGTGCCCAAACGCTTGCTGCATAAAGAATTATCGGCTCTACCACCGCCAAGTATATGGTCCTCACTATCTCCGAATTCAGACCCCAGTTGATTTTTGCGGCTCTTGAGAGTTGGCCATAAATTATCTGAGCCTTCCTACATACATTTTTTATGTGCCCATTAAAAGTTAATTTTCGGTCAATAGTCAGACCAAGTATTTTTATTTCCCGGGAGTATTCTATTGCCTCCCCGCCCATAGTTAGAGCTGGTGAGTCGTACTTTAGTTTATTTGTAAATAATATGGCCTTGGTTTTATGTGGCGCGAAACGTAGTTTGTTTTTGACTCCCCAGCTCCAAACATGCCCGAGGACAGCATTTGTTCGTCTCTCTACCTCCAGGGTCGTGTCTCCGGAGACAATGAGGACCACATCGTCCGCAAACGCCTGACAGTGCTCCCCCTTCAACGCCACTTCTTTCAACAACGGATCCAATACAATATTCCATAGGGTGGGACCGCCGATTGATCCCTGCACGCACCCCTTTGTCGTGTTTTTCAACCATTCCGCTCCAGCAAACCTGACGCGTACTGTTCTATCCTCAAGATAGCTATCTATCAGTCGCCTCAGGTTCGCTGGGCATTCGGTCTCCGCCAGTCTGCAGCGTATCGCCGGCCACCAAGCATTGTCGAAGGCTCCCTCTATGTCCAATGATACCAGCACGATCAGTTTTTTGAGCTTTAACTCATTCCTAATGTACTGCATCATGTCATAAAGGGAGTCCTCGGTACTGCGTTGGGGTAAAAAGCCGTACTGCTTGGGGCTGATGGTTGGCGTGGTGTACCATCTAATCCTTCTGATTAGCATTTTTTCAAGTATCTTGCCTAGAACTGGCAGTAGGCCAATTGGTCTATAGGACTTGGGATGCGTGTAGTTCTCCTTTCCTGGCTTTGGTAACGCAACCACCACGGCTTCCTTCCAAAGCTTTGGAAAGCATGCCAATTCGAGGCACTTATTCGCCAAAGCGGTTAGGTTAGGTTTTTTTTTTTTTTTTTTTTTTTTTTTTAATCTGTTATCCTCCGACATGTTGATCGGAGACCTTGTGTAGCTGATTGCTGTTTTATATATAAGTTTATTTTAATTTCACATTATTTTTATATATAGGTTTTACTTCATTTCCTTTTTTTCTTTTTTTTTCCCTTTATTCTGTGTATTCTATTCTAAGTTTTTTTTTTTTTTTCATTCATTTTTTTTTCATTTATTTTTATTTTCTTTTTTTTTTGAGAACATTTTATTTTATTCTCACTTTTCCTTTTTTCAAATTTGGTTAATTCTTATTATATTAGTTCTCTTTTTTTCTTGTTTTTTTTTTTCAGTATTCTACACTATTTCTAATTAAATTCTTTTTTGTTCTACTGCATTCTTATTTTATATAATATTAGAACATATGTACTCATATGTCTAATTATATAGTTTTCTTACTCTCTTGTCTTATTTTTTTTTTATCTCCCTTTTTTACCAAGTGTTTTATTGTGCTTTTTGTTTGAATTATCCTATTCTATATTCTAAATTGATTTTATCGTGTTCTTGTTTAGGCACTTTTATTAGTTTTTATGATTTTATTAGCTACGGTTATACAATATTTTGTGAAAATGTTTCTACCGCGTTTGTCTTCCATTATGTTGTGTATACTTTCTTTTGTCAATTTTAATCCTATCTGCAGTTCCACGTCTGCTCTATTTTTGCAAAATTGAGGGCAGTCTATAATTAAATGCAAAGAAGATTGGGGTTGGTTGTTGTCACACGTACAGTCTGGTTTAGATTTAATTTTAAAACGGAACAAATAATCTGCAAAGCCTCCATGACCTGTGAAAACTTGTACTAATACTGGCGTTAAATTAATGTGTTTTAGGATGCGATATGCTGCTTCTACGTCTGGAAAAAATACTTTTGTAATTTCGGCTTTTTCTTCTGTTAAATATCTCTCATCCCATTCCTTAATTGTTTTATGTCTAATTTGGTTCTTTATGAACGAAATTGGACATTTTGCGTAATTTAATTTTGTTTTTAATTTTAAAGCTGCTTCCTTTGCGAGTTCATCTGCGCGTTCATTACCGGGAATACCTACATGTGCTTTAACCCAATACAGCCCTATCCTCCTATTTTGACTTCTTAATTTAGCGATATCTCGCCTAATTTCGAAAGCCAACGGTTGATATGCTGATTGATTTTTGACGAGTTCCAGTGCAGATCTTGAATCACTGTATATGTGAGTACTTTGGAAATTCTTTGCTTTTTGAATTGCTTGATGCATTGCGTAAAGTTCAGCCTGAAAGACAGTGCAAAATGAATCTAATTTGAATTTTTTATAGTCTATTTCTTGTTTATTCCTCCAAATAGAGATTGCGGCTCCAACCTTGCCCTCAATTTTACTTCCATCAGTGAATATTTGTACGCTACTTGTATGTGGTTCCTCTAATTTTTCTGATGTTGTATTCTCTATTATTTCAAAGTCGATTTTTTCTTCGCAGGCCGGATGTAGCATTTCCAAAAAACTTACTTTTTCTTCGAGAGAGAGGTTAGGTTAGGTTAGGTTAGGTTAGGTTAGGTTAGGTTAGGTTAGGTTAGGTTAGGTTAGGTTAGGTTAGGTTAGGTTAGGTTAGGTTAGGTTAGGTTAGGTTAGGTTAGGTTAGGTTAGGTTAGGTTAGGTTAGGTTAGGTTAGGTTAGGTTAGGTTAGGTTAGGTTAGGTTAGGTTAGGTTAGGTTAGGTTAGGTTAGGTTAGGTTAGGTTAGGTTAGGTTAGGTTAGGTTAGGTTAGGTTAGGTTAGGTTAGGTTAGGTTAGGTTAGGTTAGGTTAGGTTAGGTTAGGTTAGGTTAGGTTAGGTTAGGTTAGGTTAGGTTAGGTTAGGTTAGGTTAGGTTAGGTTAGGTTAGGTTAGGTTAGGTTAGGTTAGGTTAGGTTAGGTTAGGTTAGGTTAGGTTAGGTTAGGTTAGGTTAGGTTAGGTTAGGTTAGGTTAGGTTAGGTTAGGTTAGGTTAGGTTAGGTTAGGTTAGGTTAGGTTCCCCCCCGAACGGGTTCCCGCCTTGTCGTGGCGGGGGGGCTTAGTAGCCGTGGCTTGGTCACCCACGGTGAACAAAGAGGAACCCCTTGGCTGGCCCGAGGTGTAGGGCCGGCCCGAGGTGGCCACTCCGAGTGGGCTTGGGAAGCCTACTTCGGATGTGTGTCGGGGGGCTGCGGTGAGAGGGGAGTCCGCACCCTCTACCGCTGCAGCCGAGGTGGAGTCGCGGAGGAAGAGGAGTGTTGGTATGGCGATGCGCCACTCGCCCTATCCTCCGCGACTCTGACGGGGCCGCACCGTTAATGATGCGGTGGTGGTGGGGCTGCGGGGGGAGAGGAGTGTCGGTATTGCGAGGCGCCGCTCTCCCTACCCTCCGCAGCCGAATCTTGGTTGGCGGCGGAGCCATAGACCAGATCCGCCGCTGGGGCCAGGAAGGCCGGTGCTTCTGAGTGCTAGGTTTTCCTGGCCCCATGGCCTTCGCGCATCGGACTCGGGGGCGTCTGTTGCGCATTGGAAATTGGAGGCCGAGGAGGAGGGCGCGCCATGTGTTCTAGTGCGCCTTACCTGAGAAGGAGATGGGGGAGGAGTAGTCCTCTCCCGAGGAGGGGCCGCTATGGAGTGGCCAGCGCAGGTGGGGCCGCGGAAGTGTGCGAAAGCGTTCCCGTGGCCCTGCCAATATGCGACAAGGGTGGAACACCATGGGGTTTTAGTCGGTGCGAGTCCGACATAACCCGTCCTTGCCCCCGCGAGGCGGGTATGCGTAGGCATTTCCCCATGTAAAAAAAAAAAAAAAAAAAAGGTTAGGTTAGGTTAGGTTAGGTTAGGTTAGGTTAGGTTAGGTTAGGTTAGGTTAGGTTAGGTTAGGTTAGGTTAGGTTAGGTTAGGTTAGGTTAGGTTAGGTTAGGTTAGGTTAGGTTAGGTTAGGTTAGGTTAGGTTAGGTTAGGTTAGGTTAGGTTAGGTTAGGTTAGGTTAGGTTAGGTTAGGTTAGGTTAGGTTAGGTTAGGTTAGGTTAGGTTAGGTTAGGTTAGGTTAGGTTAGGTTAGGTTAGGTTAGGTTAGGTTAGGTTAGGTTAGGTTAGGTTAGGTTAGGTTAGGTTAGGTTAGGTTAGGTTAGGTTAGGTTAGGTTAGGTTAGGTTAGGTTAGGTTAGGTTAGGTTAGGTTAGGTTAGGTTAGGTTAGGTTAGGTTAGGTTAGGTTAGGTTAGGTTAGGTTAGGTTAGGTTAGGTTAGGTTAGGTTAGGTTAGGTTAGGTTAGGTTAGGTTAGGTTAGGTTAGGTTAGGTTAGGTTAGGTTAGGTTAGGTTAGGTTAGGTTAGGTTAGGTTAGGTTAGGTTAGGTTAGGTTAGGTTAGGTTAGGTTAGGTTAGGTTAGGTTAGGTTAGGTTAGGTTAGGTTAGGTTAGGTTAGGTTAGGTTAGGTTAGGTTAGGTTAGGTTAGGTTAGGTTAGGTTAGGTTAGGTTAGGTTAGGTTAGGTTAGGTTAGGTTAGGTTAGGTTAGGTTAGGTTAGGTTAGGTTAGGTTAGGTTAGGTTAGGTTAGGTTAGGTTAGGTTAGGTTAGGTTAGGTTAGGTTAGGTTAGGTTAGGTTCCCCCCCGAACGGGTTCCCGCCTTGTCGTGGCGGGGGGGCTTAGTAGCCGTGGCTTGGTCAACCACGGTGAACGAAGAGGAACCCCTTGGCTGGCCCGAGGTGTAGGGCCGGCCCGAGGTGGCCACTCCGAGTGGGCTTGACGAGCCCACTTCGGATGTGTGTTGGTGGGCTGCGGTGAGAGGGAAGTCCGCACCCTCTACCGCTGCAGCCCAGGGTGGAGTCGCGGAGGAAGAGGAGTGCTGGTATGGCGATGCGCCACTCGCCCTATCCTCCGCGACTCAGACGGGGCCGCACCGTCTATTGATGCGGTGGTGGTGGGGCTGCGGGGGGAGAGGAGTGTCGGTATTGCGAGGCGCCGCTCGCCCTACCCTCCGCAGCCGAATCTTGGTTGGCGGCGGAGCCATAGACCAGATCCGCCGCTGGGGTCAGGAAGGCTGGTGCTTCTGAGTGCTAGTTTTTCCTGGCCCCATGGCCTTCGCGCATTGGACGCGGGGGCGTCCGTGGCGCATATGAAATTGGAGGCCGAGGAGGAGGGCGCGCCATGTGTTCTGGTGCGCCTTACCTGAGAGGGAAATGGGGGAGGAGTGGTCCTCTCCCGGGGAGGGGCCGCCATGGGGCGGCCAGCGCAGGTGGGGCCGCGGAAGTGTGCGAAAGCGTTCCCGTGGCCCTGCCAATATGCGACGAGGGTGGAACACCATGGGGTTTTAGTCGGTGCGAGTCCGACATAACCCGTCCTTGCCCCCGCGAGGCGGGTATGCGTAGGCATTTCCCCATGTAAAAAAAAAAAAAAAAAAGGTTAGGTTAGGTTAGGTTAGGTTAGGTTAGGTTAGGTTAGGTTAGGTTAGGTTAGGTTAGGTTAGGTTAGGTTAGGTTAGGTTAGGTTAGGTTAGGTTAGGTTAGGTTAGGTTAGGTTAGGTTAGGTTAGGTTAGGTTAGGTTAGGTTAGGTTAGGTTAGGTTAGGTTAGGTTAGGTTAGGTTAGGTTAGGTTAGGTTAGGTTAGGTTAGGTTAGGTTAGGTTAGGTTAGGTTAGGTTAGGTTTTTTTTTTTTTTTTTTTTTTTTTTTTTTTTTATTCTAGTTCCCCTGACATGTGGTACTCAGGGACTTTTTTCATCGTTTGGTGTTTCTTTTTTCACCTTGTCATTGTATTCTTTTATTTATTTAATATATTTTTTCTTTACACATTACATTTAATTTTTACATTTTTTCAAAGGTTTGTTCTTATATCTATTTATTATGTGGGACTGTTTACACTGTATACTTATATATATTGTGTTACAGTTCCCTTTTACATACTATTTATTTTTATTTACTATTTTATTTGCTATATCCTTACAATATTCTAAGAACTTATTTCTAATAT